TCCGGGGAAAATCTCAAGGAAAGTGTCGAGGAGTTTTCGTTTTAACTTGGGGACAGTTTCGAGGAAAGTTGAGGTCACCCAAGCCGCCTAAACCCCACAAACCCCCAACCCTAAACCCCCAACCCTAAACCCCCAACCCTAAACCCTAACCCGTTCTTTTGTTATCTTTTGAATAACTGCAACTTGTAGGAGCTTGAGGGTTTCGGGTGTAGGGTTTAGAGTTGAGGCGAAGGCCTAAACCCTAAACCCTAATTAACCCTAAACCCTAAACTCCAAACCCTAAAACCTAAACCCCAAGAACAGACATCCGGCAACCGGGCACCCGGACGTCTGCACTCTGTCAATGTGCTCGGAAACGGGTTCTGATACTAAAACCTTGGCCCCGTCAGATACTTCGAGGTCCAGGGGTCTGGGAGTTTTAAGGGTCTGGGGGTTTCTTACTGGCCCAAAACCCAAGGAAGTACAAGTTGAAACTTTCAGAATAAACTACCTCACAAGAAGCCCAAAAGTTGAAAAGTTGGGTTTTGAGCCAGTAGGGTTTAGGGGTTCCGGGCTTCGGGACTGGAGGTTGAGGGCTTTTGGGTTCAGGGTTTAGGGTTTAGGGTTTAGGGCTTAGGGCTTTAAGGGTTTGGGGTTGAAAGGTTTAGGGGTTTCGGTTTTTAGGGGTTTAGGGGTCTGGGCTTTGGGTTTGGGGCTTGCATGGCATGAAAATTTGCAGGGTCTGAGGTGGATTTTGTGGGATCTGGAACTCAAGGATTAGGGTGGGCCCTTGAGTTTTAAAGGGTAAACCCTAAACCCTAACCTTGAACCTAAACCCTAAACCTAAACCCTAAACCCGAAACCCTAAATCCTAAACCCTAAACCCTAACCCTGAACCCTAAGTGGTCCCCATTTAGCGGGCCCATACTAAGGAACCATGAAAATAGCCTTCGATTAAGAGGATAATCGGGAAACTAGGCATGCTGTGAGGGTGTTTAGGGTTTAGGGTTTAGGGTAACTGAGGGGTTGAGGGTTGAGGGGCAACTAACAAGGGTGTCTGGGGAAGTTTAGGGTAACTAGGGGGTTTGGGGCTTAGGGCCTTAGGGTACCTGACTCCTCAAACTCACTATGCAGGACCGGCAAGTAAAACCTTGAAGCGCTAGACACCCGAGGCCAAGCCCCGGCAGCCAACCTCAAAAGGAGAAGCGGGGCCTAACAGGCACAAAGAAGCAGTAAACTGCAAGCCCTATTAACACAGGGGCCCCCTTACTGTACTAACTTAGCAACCTAAGCGCTTCCCAGTTTCATTTTGGGCCCTTATACTTATACCTCTACGAATGACTAGGGGCCCGTACTTGTATCCCTAGACACGAAAGAGACTCACGTCCCAAAGAGTATGAATGGGGGGAACCCTGAACCCGAAGAAGCCCTGAGAAGCCCTAGACCTAAACTTGCCATAACCCTAAACCCTAAACCCTAAACCCTAAACCCGAAACCCTAAACCCTAAACCCTTAGTGGCCAAAGGGGCGTAGTCCTCGGTCAAGTCCCACAACCATTCAAAAGCTCCGCGGTTGATGCGCACCTTGTCTAGACCTGCTAGGCAATATGGGTCACTGACCTAGTTTGGTTAGCTGTTATCAAGGGTTAGCGCTATGTGTAGATGGATAGATAAATATATATATATATATATACATATAGACAGAGAGATAGAGACGGAGAGACAGGGAGATAGAGAGATAGAGAGATAGAGAGATCGAGAGATCGAGAGATCGAGAGATCGAGAGATCGAGAGATCCAGAGATCGAGAGATCGAGAGCTCGAGAGATCCAGAGATCGAGAGATAGACAGAGAGAGAAAGAGAGGAATGGATAGATGGATAGGTTTTCACATGCTCGCTATATATATATATATATATATGTAGTATTATTCATATATGCTTGTTTGAGATATTCTTTGTTAATTTTACTGCTTATTTGTCCGATGTATGTATATATGGATATTATGTCTGATCCCCTGCTAGGGTCTAAACCCAAAACCCAAAACCCTAAGCCCTAAGCCCTAAACCCTAAACCCTAAACCCTAAACCCTAAACCCTAAACCATCCATGAATGCGCCTAAGCTGTGCTGAAATGCTAAAAGGTTGAAAGGCAAGGAGTCGGCACAGGTCAGCCACCTGGAGTCAGAAATCCCAGGCGCGAGCCGGTTTAGGGTTTAGGGTTTAGGGTTTAGGGTTTAGGGTTTAGGGTGTAGGGTTTAGGGTTTAGGGCTAGGGTTTAGGGCTGGTGTTTTTTTTGCTTCGGGGAAAACCCTGAATCCTAGCAACCCACGGCTGTCCCGGCCTTTTTCCGGGGCCGCGGGGACTTTGAATGGCATGGCCTCCAAGGCTGAAATAACCTCAGGTCGCCCGTGGCATCACGGGCAGGGTTTAGGGAGGGGTTTAGGGTTTAGGGTTTAGGGTTTAGGGTTTAATTAGGGCTTAGGCTTTCGGCTTTAAGGTTTTAGGCCAAAGAGGGGCTTTATTACTCGAAGGCTCCACCTCGAATTTTTTAATGTTTTTGGGGCCCAAAGGCCTTGTTCCTAAGGTTTGTTTGGGCTATTTTGAGCCTACGGGTTGGACCCACAATAACCGAGATTCTGACGCAGTCTCCGTAGATGCTGATTCTGGACCTAAACCCTAAACCCTAAACCCTAGACCCTAAAGCCTAGACCCTAAACCCTAAACTCATCTTAACCTGTGGTGCGGGTATGTTAGGGGCGCGGCGTCGGGGACTCCAAGTGAGACCAAAAGCCGAAGAGTGCTTATGATGCATGTGCCATCATAGGGCTTAGAGAAGTGTAGAGTACATCACCCCCAGGGTTAGTTCAGGGCTCAAAGATTCAGCCAAATTCAATTCAGGGGTAAAAGGAGGGACCCCTAGTAGGCACCCTTGATCTTAATCCCCTATATAACCCCTCTATACCTTATAGAGTCCCTATATACCTAAGTAGCCCTCAAACAACCCCTAAACAACCCCTAAGGTCCCTTGCAAGGGCCCCTCCTTAATTCAAGCTTCGCCGAGACTAAGCTATGCACTCTCAAAGAAGGGAAGTGCATCTAGCTCTTGGTGTCTTCCGAAATGGGTAAAGCCCAGACCCTAAACCCTAAACCCCCCCCTCCCCGCCACCCCCCAAATCTGTGCCAAGTCGCTGCATCACGGCAGGCCTACCAGCAAGCTTAAGACACGCCAACCCTACTAGCAGCTTAGGGGGTTTAGGGTTTCGGGTTTCGGGTTTAGGGCTAGGGTTTAGGGTTGAGGTTCCCAGCAACCTAGGTATAGGAAGGACTGTTTGTCTTAAGGCTCCAAAAGAGAGTGCAACTGCAACCTGCCTCTGCTCCCCAGGACGGGCTATTATAGCCTGTAACCTCTTAAAAAAGGTCCTTTGTAGGAGTCATTATGGGGATTGCAGGGCCCACTATAGCCCTCCTGGCCCAGCAGGCAACCTAGCTTAGTAGCCCGGGAACCATCTTATAATCAGGGCACCCTTTCTTGGGTTCGTTACTGTATCAGGGAACACGTAACGAAAACAAGGGTAAAGGACACCACTGGGCTATCAAGCTAGGATACAAAATCGGCACCCAAGGTTTTTGTGTACCTAGGGTTTGGAGTTCAGGTTGCACTTCTGAATCCTTCAAGCAGGTAAGGGACCACATTAACCCTTAGGCTCAACCTGCGGGCCCAAAAACCTAAAAGCAGGAGTCCTTGGAGCCTTATAGGGTAATGAAAACCCTAGACCCTAAACCCCTAACCCCTCCCTAAATCCCCTAAACCGGGTAAGGGACCACGTTAAGGGACCCGCGTAACTTCCCTTGCCCTACACCCTAAACCCTAAACCCTAAACCCTAAACCCTAAACCCTAAACCCTAAACCCTAAACCCTAAATCCTAAACTCTAAACCCTAAACCCTAACCCAAAACCCTAAACCGCAAAACCTAAACCCTGGCCCTAGACGTGCCGACGCCTGGCCACACCCGCCCTCTGCAGCGGCCGCGAGCACCGCAGCCGCCTCCATTCCAGACCAGGGTTTAGGGTTCAGGGTTTAGGGTTTTGGGTTGGGGTTTAGGGTTCAGGGTTTAGGGTTTGGGTTTTTTAAGGCTTATGTCTTAGGGTGTAGGACTTCGGGTTGTAGGCTGAGGGTGCAAAAATTTCTTGGTTTGCGGGTTCAGGGCTAAGGGCTTAGAGTGTAGGGCTTCGGGTTCTCGCTTGAGGTGCAGAAAACCGTGGTTTTACGGTTTAGCGTTTAGGACTGAGGGCTTAGTTTTGCATTGATGGGCTGGGGTATAGGGCTTCGGGTTCAGGTTCCGGTTTCGGCTTCCAAAACAGCTTCATCTCTGCATCCGCTCCTACATCATACTAAGTGAGGCATATATTCCTTGTATTTTTAGCAAGAAACCCAATATTATAAACTCACCAACATTAAGAAGGAGCCTTATATACTAAACCCTAAACCCTAAACCCTAAACCCTAAACCCTAAACCCTAAACCCTAAACCCTAAACCCTAAACCCTAAACCCTAAACCCTAAACCCTAAACCCTAAACCCTAAACCTTGAGGGGCTGAATACCCTAGCCCAGCAAAGGTAAACCTTTTATTTGTAATAGGCGTATATATATATATATATATGTAACCAAAAAGGTTAAAGCGTGTCCTGTGCACAAGCGAGTCCCCAGCGTCAGGCGTGAGACTTGCTAACAGGTTAAAGGCTATAACTACCCAGCCCCTAATGCCAACACCTGCCTTTCACTCGCACGCTCGCATAGGAGTTTGAAGATGTTGCATTCTGATCTGCTGGGAATGAAACCTCATGCAGATGGTCCAAAAGGCATAATTGATTGCTGAAGCGGGAACTGTCAGGAACTTCTGTCCTCAACTGAAATTTATCCCAAAATCGGTCTCTAAGACTCTAAGCATACTTGCAAGCTTCCTTCGAAGCGGAACCAACAGCCACGCAACGCAGCTGTACACCTCGGCACGTTGACGGCCTATGGAAGAACTGGCATCTTGTTGGAAGCCTCGCAGGAAGGAGTTCGCATGGCCCCAGTGCAGCATTCGCTCCTGGCATCTTCACGGCACAGCTGGCACTGTTCACCACCACAGCCGTGGCACTTGCTGTCGAAACAGCTGGTAACAGCTTCTTCCTTGGCATCTTTGCACATCTTCGGCGGATCAACGGAGTGGTAGTGGTCATCACAGCAGTTGGCGATCCTCGAAAAATCTTGGCGGCACAGCTGGCACTGCTCACCGCCGCAACCCTTGCAGGCAGCCTCCACGCAGCTCTTGGCATCTTGCTCCCATGCACACTGCAGGCCCTGGGAGCCGTAGAGCCCGTCGCACGGATCCTGGTTGGATTCCAGCTTGTCCTTGGCATCCTTACAGATCTGCGGCGGATCCACTGAGTGCCAGTGGTCCTGGCAGCAGCTGTCGATCCTCGAAGCATCTTCGCGGCACAACTGGCACTGCTCGCCGCCGCAACCGCGGCAGGTGGTCTCCATGCAGGTCTTCACATCCTCCTCCCAGGCACATTGAAGGCTTTCGGCCCCGTACAAGCCAGCGCAAGGCGTCGTAGGAGTCGGAGGGTGGGCCTTGCACATGTCGATCTGCGAAGTTACCGATTCCAGTCCTTGCTGGGAGCAGCAGGATTCGACCGTCTTCGCATCCTCGCGACAAAGCTGGCACTGCTCCCCCCCGCAGCCATGACAAAGGGTGTCCATGCAAGATGACACGCAAGCAGACACGGTGTTGTGGTCTTCACGGCAAAGCTGACATTGCTCACCGCCACAGCCGCGGCACTTGCTTTCAATGCAATCGTGCAAGGACTCTGCTGAAGCCAAAGCAAGAACTAGGCTGAGCCCAAGTGTACGAGCCATGGCCATGACAAAGCTGACGACGGCTCGATGCCAGGCTGCCAAGCAAACAGACTGCTGGTTAGCTACGGAAATTCCTGAGCCAAGCATGGTCACACGCCAAACCCTAAACCCTAAACCCTAAACCCTAAACCCCAAATCCGAAACCCTAAACCCTGAACCCTGAACCCTAAACCCTAAACCCTAAACCCTAAACCTTTTCCTGAGCCCCAACTTCAAACCCTGCTGGCCGCTGGTTTGCCATGCACCCACAGTGCCTGGGGCCGTGCGGAAGGCGCTTGCGCGGAGCCGCGCAGCATGAGCGCCTTCGAAGCCAGGATGGGTTTCGGGTTTAGGGTTTAGGGTTTGGGGTCTGGGATTTAGGGTTTGGGGTTTGGGGTTTAGTGTATATTAGTGTAGTTTTTTTCGTTTGAGCAGTCGACATGGATCCCATTCCTTTCACCGTGTTCGCGATGCAGGAGCCTAAATGACCAAGAACCCCCCCCCCCCCACCCCCCCGCATATGGCTCCTAAACCCTAAACCCTAAAACCTAAAACCTAAACCCTACACCCTAAACCCTGACTCCCCTAAAATGGCCCCTGCATAGTCTTGAAAGCTACATGGATGGCATCTGCACTTTCGGGCTGTTCTTGTAACATGGCCCCTGCACATGCTGCAAAGGGGACCCCTTAGACTAAGGGTATTTTCATGGGCCCTCAATATGGTCCCTTACCTCCTTTAAAGGCTTCTGATGTATAGGCCCTTACTTTGCACAGGGTATTTAAGGGGCATATAAGCGGTCACCTATTAGGGGCCCATAATTAAGGGACCATGAAACTACCCTTAGACTTATACACCCCTTATGTATCCTATACAACGCACAAGGCCCAGACTGCCCAGACTCCAGAACCCTTTTAAGGAAGGTAGGGGGCCATATCCAGAGACCATGCAACTACCCTTAGAGCTACTCAACTTGGCTGCATGTAGGAGGGTAGCTATAAATTAAACTTTTAGCTGCCTTGCTATAGGAAACCCAATAAACCGAAAAAGGCTAAGGATCTAAAGTTACAGCAAAGCACCACAAAGGCAAGGTTGCAACAAGATGAGGAACTTAAGGGCAATTGTAGGGCTTTTCGACACCCGGCAGGAGGCCCAGTGGCCCTAGACCCTAAACCCTAAACCCTAAACCCTACACCCCAAACCCTAAATCCTAAACCCCGACCCGGCCCTCAGACCTAAAAAGCATCTTGAAGACCCCCCCCCACCCCCCAACCCTAGACCCTAAACCCCAAAACCCCAAACCCTAAACCCTAAACCCTAAACCCTAAACCCTAAACCCTAAACCCCCCCCCAACCCAAGGCGAAACCAGGCCCGGGCGCCAACTCCTCCGTCCTCAGCTCGACCGCAGGCGAAAGCTGCACCGCCTGGCAGACCTGGCTGGTTAGGGTTTGAGTTTAGGGTTTAGGGTTTAGGGTTTAGGGTTTAGGGTTTAGGGTTTAGGGTTTAGGGTTTAGGGTTTAGGGTTTAGGGTTTAGGGTTTAGGGTTTTGGGTTTAGGGTCCCCTCCCAGGATGGGCTACTAGACCCTTTACCCCCTTTAACGGGCCCTTTATGCGTAGTGCTCTGAGAGCTTGGGGTTTACGTGTTCAGGGTTTTGGGCCTTGAGGGCTTTGAGTTTCTTTAGGGCCTTTGGGGGCTTACGGGTTCTTTGGGTGGTTTAAGCATGCTAGTTTAGGGCTTTATGACTTTCAGGGTCGTTGACTATCCAAGGCTCTGGAGCAGTATGGATTTGAGCCGTAAAGGGTGAATCTTACTGTAGTCCATTCAAGATCCTTAGTTTCCCAATTTCCTACTTACTTCCCCAGCGGAAACGACCGAGGATTCCAAGGACATCCAGAGGTGGGTTGAGGAGCCTCGATTCGTTTTCCTTCATGCTGATGGCTCAAGCGCAACTTCAGGATTGGACCTCAGCCTCAAACGTCTGGGCCACTTTGTTTGGTCCTTCCTTCGTAAAGACATGCTTGCCTCCAAGTTATTTAAGCATGTCACAGGGCCCTAGAGCTCCCCTAAACCCTAAACCCTAAACCCTAAACCCTAAACCCTAAACCCTAAACACAAACTTGAACCCCTGAAGCCTAAACACCCTCTTGTCAGGACTGTGAAGGCAGGTTCAATTGTGGGCGACTGGCCCCCTCGGGCAATGGGCCGCAGGGGTCGCCAGCCCTGCGCGACCTCGCGTGCAGTGGTCTCCTGGACCCAGAAGCTGTCAATGGTGTCGTCGCGCCCGTACAGTTCGGAGCTGATTTTGTGGTGCCCCGCTTTTCTTCGTGGGTCTGCTGGCAGTCTTTGCTGTTTGGACCAGGACTGCTTGAAGATGTAGGTTGGTTTAGGGTTTAGGGTTTAGGGTTTAGGGTTAGGGTTTAGGGTTTAGGGTTTAGGGCTTAAGGTTTAGGGTTTAGGGTTTAGGGTTTAGGGTTTAGGGTTTTTGAGTATCTATGAGGACTCCTCACCCAGTGTAAACTCACTGCAAAGTCCTCGAACAACCTCTCACACCAAGCGAGAAGGCCGGAGCATGTGTCAGATGCAGCTGGTGAGGCGGCTAGGATGCGATTGATCTTGGGCTAACCCTGCTGTTTCAAGGGGGCCTAGTGTCGAGCAGCAACCCACATGCGAAGCCCTACAACCCCAAACCCTAACATCTGAGTATGGCTTGCCTGTGACCCTAAAACCTGGACTCCAACATGCCCTGAACCCTCGAACCCTAACACCTGAACGCCAAACCCTAAACCCTAGGGCCTTGAACCTGCAACCCTGAACCCCAGAGGCCCCCTAAACTCTACACCCGAAACCCGAAACGCAAAACCCAAAACCCTAAACCCTAACCCTAAACTCTAAACCCTAAACCCTAAACCCTAAACCCTAAACCTAAAACCCTAACCCAAAACCCTAAACCCTAAACCCTCAACCCTAAACCCTACCAGGCAGAGCGCCTTTGTCAGCGGCTCTGGCAAAGCCACGAAGCGATCCTCGAGGTGTCACCAAGCTTCATCGGGGGTACCAAGGGCCCTGCAACTCCTAAAAACCCGATTCAGGGCTTTAGGATTTAGGGTTTAGGGTTTGGGGTTTAGGGTTTAGGGTTTGGAGTTTAGGGTTTAGGGTTTAGGATTTAGGGTTTAGGGTTGATTCAAGATCCCAGAATCCCCCCTTCCCCTCCCAGAAGGCACCCGTCCCCCTCTGTAGAAGGGTCCTTGGAGTGTTTACGGAAGAAGAGCGGTATTTTGGGTAGCTTACTTGGAGGTTCATGGTACTTACTAAATTATTATAACTGGGCTTATAACCCTACTTATAAGTGGGATAACCCCTATAAGGCCCTTTAGGGACATTATAAGTAGGGTTATAACTCATAAGTACAGTTATAATTGGTTAGTAAGTACCATGAACCTTCAAGTAGAGTCTAATGATGTAACTGCATAAAGGGCAGAGGGGGAGATCTGGGGTCCATCTACCGATATAGTAGACAATATGCTTGGGCCAGAAAGCTGATACATGGGAGCCCCTTTAGGGCACAAACATACACTACACAGGTACATGGACCCTCAGGGTATATGAAATTTCCCACAATGGGGGGTACCCCTTTTATACCCCAAATAGAATAAAATCCCCTGAAAGGGAGCCCCAAAAACCCTAAAGCCTAAACCCTAAACCCTAACCCTAAACCCCAAACCCTACACCCTAAACCCTAAACCCTAAAACAAAAAAACGTATGAGTGACTCCACACTACGCACGTCCTGGAGAGCCGCCGCCTCGTCTGACGAGACCAGCAGCGACTGCGCCAAGCGTGAGAGCCTCGGTGCTTCTTGTCCGGGTTTAGGGTTTAGGGTTTAGGGTTTAGGGTTTAGGGCTCAATTTCCCAAAACCGACCGGACGCCCCACCCACCAATCCCTAAACGCGTGGTAGGGGTCTTCCTCGAGAAGGCTGAACCGATTGCCAAACCCTAAACCCTAAATCCAAAACTAAAAACCCTCAACCCTAAACCCTAAACCCTAAACCCTAAACCCTAAACCCTAAACCCTAAACCCTAAACCCTAAACCCTAAACCTTCCGCGAGAAGGCTGAACCGATTGCCACAAACGCAAGTTTCCGACGGTCCAACAGAGGAGGGATGGCTCGAGAGACACCGAAAAGGCAGCCCTAAACCCTAAACCCTAAACCCTAAACCCTAAACCCTAAACCCTAAACCCTAAACCCTAAACCCTAAACCCTAAACCCTAAACCTAAACCAACCATGGGGCGCCCCTGTAGCTGAGACCCAGGCTCCTCTGCGAGGTCCTGGAGGCTTGCGAAGGGAAGTTACATGGTCCCTTACTTGGAGGTTCATGAATACTGTACTTCGAACCCCTAGTATAGAAACCCCTAAACCCTAAACCCTAAACCCTAAACCCTAGACCCTAAACCCTAAACCCTAAACCCTAAACCCTAAACCCTAAACCCTAAACCCTAAACTAAAATCTACGTACTTACAACCTACTTAGGGGACTTGGAAGGGGGGGCTTAACGGTTAAAACTCGGGTGATAAGTACCCTGAAACCTCCAAGTAGTAATGATCTCATACCTTCTGCACAAACGGGTTCTGAGGTATGGGCCCATTTGGGTTAATGAAGGGTCCATGCATACTAAGGAAGTCTAAGATCTTTCGGGCTTGTGAGGGTTCTTGTGGCGCTTACTGGAAACCCTAAACCCTAAACCCTAAACCCTAAACCCTAAACCCTAAACCCTAAACCCCTAAAGCCCAGGTTGAGGGCTTTCAGATACATAGGGTTTAGGGTACCCAGGGGGCTGCTTAGGGCTTTAGGTTTTGTGGGTTTGCGGATTGTAGATCTACACCTTGAACAATTACCTCTGTGTATTTGCTTGCCCTCAAGCCTAAACCCTAAACCCGACTCTAGACCCTCAACCCACTCCCCACGTGCTCCAACCTCACAGGATTCAGGCTGCAGAGGTTTCCCAAAGGGTCCTAAGTGCCTACATAGTAGAACGTAGGGGTTCGAGAATGGAAATTACCAATCTGGTTTAAGTAAGTGTCCCCCATATAGGCACTTAAGACCCTCGGGTTTACTAGCTTTCACACCCATACCTCTGTAGCACTGGCGGTTTTCCAGGTCAAGGGCACCCTACGACCTAACCCGCCAAACCCCAAACCTCGAAACCGTTTAGGGTTTAGGGTTTAGGGTTTAGGGTTTAGGGTTTAGGGTTTAGGGTTTAGGGTTTAGGGTTTAGGGTTTAAGGTTTAGGCTTTAGAGTTTAGGGTTCCCTTTTCCCGGGACCCCAGCCTCCAGAAGCAGCATCTGGCTCAGCTGTGCCGCGCCAATCGCCACTGATGCCTGGAGGCCCAGCAGCGACCCTCAAGTCTGAAGCCAGGGTCCTGCTAGGGTTTAGGGTTTAGGGTTTAGGGTTTCGGGTTTAGGGTTTAGGGTGTCTCACTGCGCAGGCGCGCTGGTACTGAAATCATCCAGTAGGCATGTGGCCACCCCACGTTGCGCCCCAACCTCATCTTGACTGTTGCGGGCTTACAGTTCCCTTGCTTTCTGATCCCGCTCTTGTTCTTTCATTTGTTTTTGAGCGTGGAGCGTGATAATGAAGCCCCAAACCCCAAACCCCAAACCCCAAGCCCTCAACCCTAACCCTAACCCACGCTAATCTGGGAGCTTTGCAGGCTTCAAGCGCCCATGTCCTACTAGCAACCGTGCTTGCCAACCTCCAAGTCACCGCAAGCACCACACATGACAATAATCAGGGTTTAGGGTTTAGGGTTTAGCTTTTTAATCTGCATTCACTGTCGATCAGCGAGGCGGTCATCGCCCTCCCGAGGTGAAGGCATGTCATCCGAAGTAGCACTGGAAGCACAGCGCAAGGTCTTCCTTCGCGACGTTGCGTTTGTTCTAGGAACCATACCTGCGAAGATTGCTTTGGACACGAAAGCGCCCGCGCCTTGTCTTCCTAAGAAGCGAGGCCGAGATCCTGGAACCTCTTCGGGCCGCGGATCTTCCTGCTCCCTCTCCCAGCTGTTCACCTGCCCTAAACCCTAAACCCTAAACCCTAAACCCTAAACCCTAAACCCTAAACCCTAAGTTTAGCCGCAGCCTCGGAGATCAAGTTGCCGTTCACCCTGATCGGAGTCAGAGTCTTCCGCATCTTCGACATGCGCAGCACCATGGACCAACGCAGGGTTTCAGGTTTAGGGTTTTAGGGTTTAGAGTTTAGGGTTTAGGGTTGCAATCCTGGAACCCTTAAAGTCACTGAATCCTACGCCTCCTCAAGCGAACTCCGTAACCTCTACACTGCCTATACTCTGAACTCCCGAAGCCCTACAACTCTAAACTCCACAATCCCTGAACCGTAAACCCTCAACCCTGAACCCTAAACCCTATAAACCCTAAACCCTAAACCCTAAATCCTGCCTGGCCCAAGCGGAGGCTGCCTGCGGTCGCGCTCCTGGAGGATTTAGGGGGTCTACAGGGTTTGGGGGGTTTAGGGTTTAGGGTTTAGGGTCTAGGGTTTAGGGTGTAGGGTTTAGGGTTAGGGTGGTCGGCTTTTGGGTTTACCGGGCCTGAGCCTTAGAGTTTAGGGTCCAGGGTATAGGGTCAAGCGGGTTTTGAACCTCTTGAGGTTCAGGGCTTTCTGGGCGTTAAGGGCTGGAAGCCTTGGGGGCCAGAAAAGGGCTTCCAGGACTTCCAGGGTTCTAATTAAGTGACTTGAGGTTTGGAGGTTGAACAGAAGTAAGCCACCCCTAACATGGAAAAAGGGAGAAGGGCTTCCCAGGCTTTCAAACGCCCCAAGCCCTCAAACCTAAAACATCCCGCTATGAGATTCGATAAAACCTTTTACCAGCCCGAAACCGAAAGAAGCCTTAAACCCTAAACCCCAAACTCTCTACCCTAAACCCTAATCCCTGAACCCTAAACCCTGAACCCTAAACGATAAACCCTAAACCCTAAATCCTATCGACCCAAACCCAGGCTCGGTCCTGGGCCTAGACCTGCGAAAGGAAGGCCCTGGGACCTCAATCCCTGGAAGGCTGGAAGTATTTTCATGCGCTATATGGGTCGTTTCCAAATTATAGAGTTTAGGGTTTAGGGTTTAGGGTTTAGGGTTTGGGGTTTAGGGTCCCTTTTTGGCTACCCATTCTAAGGCGGCACCCTTCAAAAAGGGATGCCAAAAAAAGGCACTAGTTTAGAGCACTACCCATATGACAGAACAGAAGACAAGCGTGCATGCCCAGAGAGTAACCCCCCACCCCCCTCCAAGAGGAGAGCAACCCTAAACCCTAAACCCTAAACCCGAAACCCTAAACCCTAAGCCCTAAACCCCAAAACCTAACTCCTGGCAACCTCCTGTGCGGCTCCTGGCGTAGCACGCCGCGCTGCGCGGTGAGCACTTCTCCTGGAGATCGCAAATCGAAGCAAGCTCAGGACTTTTTAGGGGTTCAGGGGTCTGTTTTAAAATTTAGGGTTCCGAGTATGCGCGCTTCATGTGGGTGGTTGTCAAAATTATAATCCCTTTTGGGGTACCCTAAATATTAGGTGCCGTATTTTAATAGGATCCAAAAAGGGACCATAATTTTGACAACCACCCATAAACCCTAAACCCTAAACCCTAAACCCTAAACCTAAACCCCATGTGGGTCCCTTGTTTTGCAACCCCTAGAGGCGCAGGAGTCTACGGGTTTAGAAGCTTGGAGTTATGGAGTAAAGTTCAGGGAATCTGGGAGTTCTGATGGATTTTTCAAAAAAGGTTTAGGGTTTAGGGTTTAAGGTTTAGGGTTTAGGGGCTTAGGTTTAGGGTTTGCGGCATAGATGGCTTAGGGCCTCTTTTCGCGGGGAGCTGGCAAGTATCGTGGGGCTGGGGGCACTTAGCCTGACTGAGATTTTGGCGAGTTCTGAGAGACCGCAGTGCCAAAACCTCGCGACTATCAAGGGGGTTTGGGGTCTAAAGCGTGTAGGCTTTTATGGGACACCTCAGCTGAGCACTCGTGGCTCAAGTATGATGTACTTCCTCGGACACAAATCAGCAACCCCGAAAACAGCATCACCATGCCCTAGACCCTAAACCCTAAACCCTCAACCCCAAACTGGCTGGTACCTCCATGTCCGTGTACAGGTATCGGATCACAACGGTGGCCGCAGCGACAGGGCAGCCCGGAGGGAGTCGCAAAGGCAAAAGGCCTCGCAACCCAAAGGGTTTGGGGTTTAGGGTTTAGGGTTTAGGGTAAGTGTCCCCCATATAGGTACTTAGGACCCTTTGGGCAAGAAGCATCTGTCTTGCGGTGCCTTTCACGGAAAGGGACCCAGTACGCCGGATAAAGGGTTGAGAAATCAGGGTTTGCGATTCGCTCAAACCCAAGCAACATCACCATGACAAGCGTTGAAACAAAATTCGAAACTGTCCCCAAGCCCTTGAATTCAGGTTCCCGAAGAACAAACTCAACTCCTGCCTTTCGGCCTAGCATCTACAGGATACTTGCTTGGAGGTTCATGGGTACTTGTAACCCCTATTATAAATCGACTTATAACCTACTTAGGGGACTCGGGGGCTTATAAGTACAGTCATAACTGGGGTTATAAGTACCCTAAACCCTAAACCCTAAACCCTAAACCCTAAACCCTAAACCCTAAACCCTAAACCCTAAACCCTAAACCCTAACCCTAAACCCTAAACCCTAAAGGTTATAAGTACCCATGAACCTCCAAGTAGTAGGGTCAGCTTCAGGGTTCAGGGGTTTTGCGGCTCAAGACCGGCAACTCCGATGTCTCTTAGGCGATGCCGTATAAACCCCAAGGGTTTAGGGTTTAGGGTTTAGGGTTTAGGGTTTAGGGTTTAGGGTTTAGGGTTTAGGGTTTAAACCTTAAACCCTAAACCCTAAACCTCCCACCCCTGCCTGAATTCTCCTCCCTGGCGTTGTGCCAGTGATCTGCCAGACGAGCCTGGAAGTACGGCGACCGTTGCAAGACTGCCTTGCCAGGACGTGCTATTAGGCCCTTGAAATGCGCAGAATCAACCCTATAAAGGGTCTTTTTGGGGAGTTATAGGGTATCATAGCCCATCCCCATAACCCCATAAAGGGTCTTTTTTGAGAGTTAGAGGGTATCATAGCCCATGCTGGTGCACGGGCCAGAGCGGACTCTTCGGGTGCGGGGATTTGGGGTTTAGGGTTCAAGGCTGAGGGCTGAGGGTTCAGGGGGCTTTTTGGGGGGCTAAATGCTTTAGAAAATGTTTTAAAGCTTACAGGGTTTAGGGTTTAGGGTTTAGGGTTTCGGGTTTCGGGTTTAGGTTTAGGGTTAGGGGTTAGGGTTTAGGGTTTAGGGTTTAGGGTTTAGGGCTCCAAGGTTCGGGGCTCTGAGGGCCCAGGGCTTAGCAGTTTCCCTCGTCCACGGCCCATATGGAAGAGCCACCAAAAAACATGCAAAAAACACCGGCGAGTTCCAGAATCTTACTGTAAGCTCAAGCACGGGAAACACAAGTGTCACAAAGGGCTTTACATTTGAGCTCTGTATTCCCGCTTTCTCCTAGTAGCAGTGACCGATGCCGTTTGCACAAAGCCGCTCTTCAGTCCTGCTTACACGTCGGGCGCGGCCCCGCTACTATTAGGGTTTAGGGTTTAGGTTAGGGATTTAGGGTTTTAGGGTTAGGGTTTAGGGTCTAGGGTTTAGGGAAAAGATCCGCTGCACGCCTTGTGGACAATCATCATCGAAGTCCTTGGCAGCCCCAGTAACCATATTCGAACAAGGGTTTAGGGTTTAGGGTTTAGGGTTTAGGGTTCTTTATAAGGGATCTTTGAACCAACAAAAAGGGAACAAGGGTACCACGGGGGCTACCAAGCATAACCCTTAAAGACACTGTGTATACAAAAACAAAGGCACCCTTCTTATTGGTTGGTTACTGTTATAAGGGAACCTTGAACCCAACAAAAAAAGAAGGAACCTTGAACCCCCCCCAAAAAAAAGGAACCTTGAACCCCAAAAACAAAGGGAACAAAGGGTACCACGAGGCTAACCAAGAGTCTGATCATCAGCAATGAGCCGCAGTTGCACCTCGGAAGCTCAAAATTTTTCAACTTGCCGAGCCGGAGACTGAGCTTGGCTGCAAAGAAACCTCTGGGCTCTTGGTTTAGGGTTTCGGGTTTCGGGTTTAGGGTTTTGGGGTTTAGGGCTTAGGGTTTAGGGTTTAGGGTTTAGGGCTTAGGGTTTAGGGGCATTCAGGGCTTAACAGGATGGGCGGTTTTGGCCCTATCATCAACGCTATAAAGGGTTTTTTTTTTTTTTTTGGGGGGGGGGGGGTGGGGGGGGGGCGGGGGGTTGTAGCGTGTAGTAGCCCATGCTGGTAAGGAACGTAAGCTCACTTGCCAGATGAGGATACTTCTTCACCGGCTATGTAACCATGTTATGCTATGTGCCTTACCCAGAAGCGACGCTGAGCCACGCTCACCGCCATCTGGCACAACCCTTTGACCTCGACACCCTCAACCAACCTCTTGGAGGTTCATGGGTACTTATGACCCCAAATATAAGTCTATTATTCTAGTTATAATCTACTTAGAGGACTTGGGGGGGCTTTTGCGTACAGTTGTAATCGGGGTTATAAGTACCCAAAACCCAACCTCCCATATTGCCAGCAAGGTTCTGCGGGACTGCCGAGGATGGTGCTCCTGAGCATAGGTCCGAGAAACCTTCCTAGACCCAGGTTTAGCCTAGGAATGAAAAGGGTGCCTTTTTTGGTTTAAAGGGGAATGAGGGCCTAGGCTGGCGTCCTAGTTTCGTTTAAACACAAAGTTACAAAGTACAATGGATGCGATAGCTCTTTGTGATGAAACGGGACCAGCGAGATCTTGGAAGTCAAAGCAACCCAAAACGCTTCTAGGTATCTTTGGGTGGCTTTAGGGTTTTGGAGGTTTGGGGTTCAGATCAGGGTGGTCTGAGGACTAAACCCTAAACCCTAAACCCTAAGAGCTCGCAGCTTGGGGCTTCAGAAAGTGCATTCAACACCCCTGAAAAGGGCTCAGAGCCCACCATCTTTGGGATCTACAGCGTGTTTAGGCTCATATATGTGCATATATCTGTATGTATACATCTGTGTATATATATATATACACATGTGTGTGGATATGCATATATACATATACACAACTGTATATATATACATATATATATATATATATATGGTACCCCCCCCCCCCCCTGGAGAATCTACCTCCAAAGGGTTGGGGTTTAAGACACCTGTAGCTTTTTCGTATCGGGTTGAAGATACCTCTAACGCTTTCGTATAGATTCTTACCCTCTCATCTTCAACAAGATTCGCATTTCAATCTCTACATGATGAGAGTTTCAGATTTCCATATCCAGAGGATGAGGTATAAGAGTTTGTCTTTTGTTTTAGGTGTGTTGCTTAGAAGCAGTTGGGTTGCTTATAAGCAGTCGGGTTGCTTAGGAGGTGGGGGGGGGGGGGGGGGGGGGGGTTCTTCCAACTGGCCTGGGACCTGTGTGGTTACTCCCCCCCCCCCCCCCCCTCCCCCCCCCCCCCCCCCCCCCCCCCCTCCCTCCGCTCCGCTCCGCTCCCGCTCCAGCTCCAGGGTTTTTTTCTTAAGGTTAAGGGTTGTTTGGGCTGGGCTTGTCTCTAAAACCCTATCGGGGTTAAGGCTTTAAGGCTTTAAGGATTTAAGAGAAGCCCCGACACCCTACAGGTTTAGGGTTTTAATCGCTATGCCTTAAACCTATAGGATCTAGGGCTACACCTTAAACCCTACACCTTTAAACCCTATGGGGTTTCAAGGTTAAGCAACTAAACTTAACCCTTAACCTTTAAACCCTATAGGGTTAAGGTTTAAAGGTTTAGGGTGTAAGATGTAAGGATTTCAAATCTAAGCCGGAAATTAAACCAAAACCCTTAACTTTTAAACCCTACAGGTTTAAGATTCAGGCATTTAACCGGCAATTGAACCTAAGCCCTTAACCTTTAAACCCTATAGGTTTAAGGTGTAAAGGTTCAGGGTTTAATTAAGACTCATGCATTCAAACCTAAGCCCATAGAGTTTAAACCTTAAGTGTTTAAGGTTTAGACATTTCAACCTCACCCTAAACCCTTTAGGGTCAGAACCCTAAAACCCTATGAAGGTTCCAAGGTCTTAACCCTAAAGGCGCTAAAAGTATAAATGCCCAGACCTTAGGTTTTGAAGGCGAATGAAGTTAGGAATTTAGCCTTGAGGTTTAGGCATTACAATCTGCAAGCCCCATAGGATTTTACAGGTGCAAGATCTAGTGATTAAAACCTAAGGCTTGGGCATTCAATCTGTAACCCTAAAGGCTTGAACCTTAAACCCTATAGAGTCCCTATAGGGTTAGGTATTTAAACCGAATAGGTGGCCTTTAAACTCTATAGGTTTAAAGGTTTAGGGTTTAGGTTGAAATATTTAAACCCTATAGGATGTAAAGCTTTAGGGTTATTCAGGGTGTATCTCTAGAACCCTATCGGGGCTAGCCCTTATAGGGTTTTAAACCCTACATGGTTTACCCTTTTGTGGTTTAAGACTTAGGAATTTAAAAATCGTAACCCGAAACCTTGTAGGGTTTTAACCCCTTTACTGTTTCAACGACAAACCCTGAAGCCTTACAGGGCTCACGTTTAGAATCCTTAAACCCTAAACCCGCTAAACCCTACAGTAACAGAACCTTGTAACCCTATAGGGTTTGAGGCTTAAACTCTTGAACTTTAAATCCCATAGGGCTAGGAAAAGCAAAGACAAAGTAGGATAAGTGCCCACATCATGTATGTATATAGGGTATATGTACTGTATATCAATTGCAGATAATGGAGAAGGAAGGACGGTACGCCTCGAACCATAAGATTGGGGGGGGGGGGTACCATCACTCAACCCTAAACCCTAAACCTTAAACCCTAAACCCATCCAAGATCCAAGATTACCTGAAAAGGTAGATTCTCCTGGGGGGGGTAGCATATATATATATATATTAATATCTAGAGTGCTTGGCAGGACCTCAAGCAACTCGTAGTAGACAAGGCTCCAGTCCGCGAATGCGGCGCCGAGATCGGAGTCGTCTGGGCACATAGCAGGGTACTCTTCTGGGACGCTAGGCCCTGAACCTTATAATCCCTAGACCCTAAACCCTAAACCCTAAACGCACGATACCGCCGCTTAAAGCCACAAATAAGTTGATCCCCCCTCTCTACAGTCTTTGGTATCTAGGAGAAACAGGCCCGTACACATATTGTAGAGGCCGATCTGTTCAATGAGCAGTTCGGGTACGTTTTAGACCGAACAAACAGACAAACTCAAAAAAATGCAAGTGTGTGTGTGTATAAATATATATATATATATATAAATATAAATATCCGGGACATGGGTTTGGGGTTTGGGGTTTAGGGGTTCAGGCCCGGCTTACAGAATTCAGGTTAAGCCTGACCCTTTTCAAGGATTCAAGACGCAGAAACCATAGCAATAATGGCTGTTCTATGGGTGAATAAGCCATCTAGGTTACCCCGTAACCTGACAACCCCAAAAACCCAATGATTCCTAAATCCCAATACATTCAAATCCTGCTGAGCCCTAGAACGCTGAGTCGCTTCCTGCCCGCCCCCATCACCTACAGGGGAGTGCCTCGTAGTTAAAGGTCGTTGAAGGAGAGGGGAAGCAGCTGTTAAGTTCTCTGCTAGATAACTAAAGTGTATGCTATGACTATGAGTCCCTTACTTTGTTCTTACCAGTAGCACAGTAAGCTGCTGCAGGTATCAAACCTTGACGGTGAAAAGCTCAAGGTCAGAGGTGTTGAGGGCACCCTAAACCCTAAACCCTAAACCCTAAACCCTAAACCCTAAACCCTAAACCCTAAACCCTAAACACTTTCTGATGCGGTATCCGCGCCTGAGCTTGTTTCGGAAGCAGGTGCGAAGGACAGAGTCAGCTCACCTGAAGGTGGCCGGTTCCTCGAGGCGCGTTTAGGGTTTAGGGTTTAGGGTTTAGGTTTAGGGTTTAGGGTTTAGGGTTTAGGGTTTAGGGTTTAGGGTTTAGTTGGCCCTTCAAAACCAAGGGCAAAACGCTCCCAAATGTCCCCACAGAGAGGGACTGGGCGGAGTCCGGAGGGTCCTCGGAGGCTTTGGGTAAGCCCTCAGGTTTGAAGGAGCCCTAAACCCCAAACCCAAACCCCCAACCCTAAACCCGAAACCCTAAACCCTAAACCCTCAACTTGGCCAGGAAACAAGGTCTAGACGCTGACATCTTCCTGATTCGGATCCCCTCCCCCTTCTCCGAGGCTCTCGTTGCAACTGATGCTGTCATCGGAAGTCTCTGCCTTCACCTTGAAAACTCATTTAGGGTTCAGGGTTCAGGGTTCAGGGTTCAGGGTTCAGGGTTCAGGGTTCAGGGTTTAGGGTTTAGGGTTTAGGAGTAGGGTTTGGGGTTTAGGGCTTAGGGCTTAGGGTTTTGGGGGGTTTTAGGGCCCATGTTTGTTGGAGACCGGACTCGCCCACTTTCAGACGCGCTGAGCTGATCACGCAGATCCACCAGGGTTGGTTGGAGGTTTTTTTGGGGTTTGGAGGTGCAGAGCCGATCCCTAAACCCTAAACCCTAAGCCCTAAGCCCTAAACCCTAAACCCTAAGCCCTAAACCCTAAACCCTAAGCCCTAAACCCTAAACCCTAAAACCCTAAAACCCTAAGCATGATTTCAGAGTTGAAGCTTGAGGGTGGCGCGGGGTAGGGGCTTAGAGGCTCTCACGCCGAAATCAACCTCTGGACCTAAGAGTAACCTAATAGAAAGGGGGAACTTTCTTGGGTTTAAAGGGGTTTAGGGTTTAGGGTTTAGGGTTTAGGGTTTAGGGTTTAGGGCGGGCGGCTTCAGAGGCCTAAGCCCTAAAACAAGGGAATGTGGGCCTACTCTGGCTCCCAGGTCATCTTGAGCTTCCAGGGGGCTGAAAGAACCCTACACACGAAACCCGAAACCCGAACCCGAAACCCGAAACCGAAACCCGAAACCCTAAACCCTAAACCCTAAACAAGCCAGTTCACATCCGCAAAACCGGCAATGTGTGCTGATGATGAGACTCCAGCCAGCTTCTGCCCTGGAAGCCCTCAAGCCTTTAGGGTTTAGGGTTTAGGGTTTAGGGTTTAGGGTTTAGCTTCAAGCCCTCGGGCCTTTGGGGAAGGAGGCTTTCCAGGTTTTTCTCCCTACAACCTACCTTCAAACCCACATCCGAAAAGACTCTTAGAAGCAGAACACCCCAAATCCTAAGACCTCCTAAACTGCGGAGGGTTCAGGGTTTGAGGTTTAGGGATTCGACTCATCGAACAAAAAACTGCGGCCCGGGGGGGGTCCTGGGATCGGGCATCGGCAACTCCAAAGCCGGCTTCTGTGCCTTTTCTCCCGCACGTCCAGAACCGCAGATACGTCAAGGTCGACCCCTTAATTGGGGTTTAGGGTTTAGGGTCTAGGGTTTAGGGTTTAGGGTTTAGGGTCTAGGGTTGACCCTGCAAACCTTGGTGCACTTCAAGGTCTATTCCCTACTTGAAGTGGGTACCGGCCGTCAAAAAAAACGATGCTTGGCAAAGCTCACTATGCACGTCTGTGTTAAGGGGCCAGAAGCCGCAAACCCTAAACC